GTCTTACCAAATAAAAATAAACAAACAACTTTTATCATATATATTTACCAGCAAGTTGCAATCCTCTATATAAATTAAAACCAAATTAAAATGTATTTTCAATTAGATAGAAATGTGTAGATAAAGCTACAGAAACTGAAGCAGGCTAATCATAAACAAAGCCAACAGCCTAATTACAAAGATTAACATAAAAAAAACCCCCAAAGCCCAAGAATAAACTTTAAAATCTAAACAAAGGAAAAAAAAATCTGTTCTCTTATTCAGACAAGCAGACAGTCAGATTTGGACCCTTACACATTTCACAGTATCTCTACACCTAAAGCACAGGTACTTGAGGCTCTTAGACCTTGGCTTATAACCTGGCCATGCCTTAGTGCCATATGATAAGACAGGTCACAAAACCACAAAACTCTTCTCCTGCAGTTAATAACTTCAGGGAAGAAGAAGTTGCATCTACCTACTAAAGACCTTTTTTTTTATTATTATTTTTTTCTTTTTTTTTGACTCTTTACCATCATTCTGCTTGGGTTAAATATTCAAGATTAAAGCACACGGTCCTATCCCAGATACTAGTGCTATTAATCTTGCATTCCACCCACACTGACCAGCTATCAGTGGACATAGAATCACTGACTACTGTTTAGAAAGGCCATAAACTGCACAACATAAAGCACTGCTGGCAATGATAGCACCCCGTCACAAAAACTTCAAAGCTAGCACAAAGAAAGATGAATTGCTGCCCAACAATACCTAATAACTTTTTAAAAATATGCAAAGTATAGATAGGACCTAGGTCTATTCCACCAGCCATGTTTAAGGAAGTCACCTGTCTGTCATTTGCTTCATGACCCTCCATGAGGCATGAAGCAATGATACAAAGGTTCTTTCAACACTGACACATTTTTTAACTTGTTGAATTGCTTACAGAACACTGGCTGAATCTTAAACTTTGTCCAAAACCAGAAGCTTGACGGTGTAAAGTAGATATCTATTTTAAATAGTGTCTGTACTTGACAAACACCGAGTTTTGACAAATATTAAGAAGGCACATTAAATTCTTAACTGGTAGCATACTTGCATTTCTAGCCTGAGCAACCAAATATAAAGAGATGGGGAGTATGGGTGTGCAGAAGAGGACAGATATCCTGGTATCTGCCTGGAACAATCTCTGCTCCCTCTTGGAGTTCCTTTGTTTTGGCTTGTTTTGCTTTGAGCTGCGAGAACTCTGCAAATGGGCGTTCCCAGCTTCTGGCAGCCATATGTGCTGCCTACCATCTGTTTTCATTCCACTGTGTTATGGAGACAAACATACTTTATTTTTAGTGTTCTGCATTTCCCAATGTTGCATATAATAGAATCTAAGAATAGGGATTATCTCTCATATCTAAGCCACTATATGTGAAAAATCTTGTGTGGATAACTGATGAGTAACAGCGACAGAATATCGCCCGGGATCAGAAGGGGCAATTTCCATTATCTGCTTCTCAGTGTGAGTCTGCAATTTAGACTGAAGTTTGCTGGTTCCTGTATACCTGCACTTTGTCTCCACACTGTCTACAAGGAACTTCCTTTGTATGTTTTAAATATACATTTTTCCCTGTAACTTCCTGGGTGGACAAAATTGCTGCTACAGTTGTGTGGGTTGCCACTAGTGGCTGCTAGTCTGCGCGCAGCACTGGGAGTCAAAACGGGGAGTACCGCACTGAGGAGCTGCACCAGCAGCTCCAGGCACTCAACGCGGCCCTGCAACAGGGACTCCCTGCACAGGCTCCCACGTAGTTCTCTTGGAACGAATGCACGCCAAAACTACTCTGCAAGCACTAACTGGACAGTATAGTTTTTATATGAAATTTGTTTGAAAAGATTTCAGGGCTACAACTTAGCACAACTTTGGAAGGTGCCCGTGGCACCCTGGACCACCAGTAATTCCTTAAAATGCACCAGAATAAACCCAGTTATAGAAAGCATTGCTGCTTTTACCTATATTGACATTAGGCTATATATTTCTAGGCAACAGTATTTTTTTCTTTCCCCATTTAGCCTCTGTCTCCTCAAACTTCCTCCACTTACTCAAAGCTACACAGCCTTGATCAGTATCACCTACAACTCAACCAGGATCATATCGTTGCCAGCATAACACCCATACTTTTAGAGCATATTGCAGTGCAGATCTTTCCACTGTATAACACTGCAAACTCAGGATACTGTATGTTATTGTTAAGCAATTATTAGTGAGGAATTACGTCTGGTTTCAAAAAGTAAGTAAAAATTTATTAAGAGTTGCACTGAAATAAAATAGTGCCTTTAAAATAGCTTATGCATTAAGAGATTCCAAGTGTTCATATAGGGTACTCCAGAAGACACCTGAAGCGTTTCTATTTAACTTTTTCAGATCAATTTTATTCAGTCTGAAGTTTTCACCCATTCTTTCCTCAAATAAGCACTTTCATGCACTGCATGTGGTCTTATAAATACAGAAGTACTTTCTAATTAATTAGCTTGGCAAGGCATTTTTCCATCTTTTTAATTCATTCAAACATTTTAATAAAGGACTTCAACTACTCTGCTGTTTGAGGGGATGATTTTATTATTTGCAGCTATTACTCTCCCCACTGAGACTGTGACCAAAATTGTGAGAAAATTACTTTTATCATACCACTTTTAAATTTATTCTGCCTCCTGCTTTCATAGTATCGATTGCAGTTAAGCTGTTCTGCAATTCCTCAAAGTCCTCTATTTTAAGTAATACAATGCAAGAAATAATTTGTCTTAAAGCAGTATCTTTTTCAGCTATCAAAATTAGGAAGTGGAAACATTTTTGTTGATTAGTGTCACTAAGTGTTCTTTATCTTTTTTTTCCCCCTCCAACATCATCTCCAGATTAGTCTAAAACACTCTTCTGCTGGGTTCCCACTTGAAATTTCAGAACTAGCCTTTAGCTGAAACAAAATACAGGAGGAGTTTTGAAAGGAGACTGGCAAATACAGACTGAGAGAGTTGGGGCTGTTCAGTCTGGAGAAGAGAAGGCTCTGAGGTGACCTTATTGTGGCCTTCCAGTATCTTAAGGGGGCCTACAAGAAAGCTGGGGAGGGACTTTTTAGTATATCGAGTAATGACAGGACTAGGGGGAATGGGGCAAAGCTGGAAGGGGGCAGATTCAGGCTGGATGTGAGGAAGAAGTTCTTCACCATGAGAGCGGTGAGACCCTGGAATGGGTTGCCCAGGGAGGTGGTTGAGGCCCCATCCCTGGGGGTCTTTAAGGCCAGGCTGGATGAGGCTCTGGGCAGCCTGATCTAGTGGGAGGTGTCCCTGCTCATGGCAGAGGGGTTGGAACTGGGGGATCCTTGGGGTCCCTTCCAACCCTGACAGATTCTGATCTGTTTTAGCAGAGGACTTTAGAGCCCTAATGGCTCAATGGTTGGACTTGATGATCTTGGAGGTCCCTTCCAACCTAAAGGATTCTATGATTTAAATTCACTTTGCTTCAGAATGTAAATTGGCAGTTTATGAGGGGGGGTTAGAGAGAGAGTCTCTCTCCCTTCCTACAGAACAACACAGTGGCAGGGAACTGTATTAAAGCTGTTCATCAACACTTGACCATAGCAAAGTATATAATCCATCACCCATCACTCTGTCACTCCTGACCTGCCACAGTCTACTACTTTTTAAGATGTTTGTCACAAGTTTGATGCTTACGCTTACTACGCTCATGCATTTTCCTAACAAAATCTGAATAGTCTTATATTTGCTCAGATATGTTGACAGCTCAGCAAACGTTTATTTCAACGTAAATTAGTTTTGACAATCAGTTCAAATCAATACAGCAGTTGGAAGCATCAGAAAAAGAAACAGAAAGCTTTAAAAACACTGATCTTGAGAACACCATCCCTAATTTTCACTTATTTTAAAAGAAAACTGTATTTTGAACTTTGCATTATAGTCCTATGACAGAAACTTTCATGTGCAGTCCAGCCATAGCTTTCCTGAAGTTCTCTGACAACAGACTAGCTCATCTGCATATGTGCTCCATACTTTATTCACAGCACTGCTACATTTGACAGCACCTGGGTGGCAGCTTGCATTATATTCAACAAAAAGAACTTTAAACACTGCATTAATGAACAGAAAAAATGTATATACTTTTACATCAAATTTGGGGATAGTATTCAAAGCAACTGAAGACAATAGCTGTAAAAGCAATTTCAACTTAATGTATCTTTTTAAAAGCAGGGAAATCTAAATTTATATAATTAAAAAGTATTTAAAATGAATAATATATTTTTTCATAGAAAAAAATCTGATGTTCTTACTTAGTTTCAAGTGTCAATTTCATAACACGGGCCATGGTAATTTCAGGTACACTACTTTAATAATTAGCTCACCTTCCTAGGACAGCATATTTCCAAACATTTCTAGGTATTAAACACAAGTTTAATACTCAGACACAAAACAAGGTAATTTCAAGATTGCCTTCAAATGTATCTCAGTTCCAGCTCTTCTGGTTATTACACAAAATCATATTTTTATTTTCAAATGTCTAAGTCTTCTACTATTCTTTTAAATACATTGAAATAATCACAAGCATCTGTTGCAATCAGAAAATGGAATTAAAACTGTTTTTCCAAGATGAAAATTATAAAAAAAAAACACCAGGAAGCCAACCCCAAAAACTCCAAATGAAAATAAATTACAATTGGTCTGTGCAATTATGATCATGTTTTGCTTCCTAATAACTGTTGCCTTTTCATCATATCATTCAAGAAAAGGGTATTTAATGGTTCGATCCCTTAATTTTGGTGTCTGTTTTTAAAACTGAGATGTTTTTATTGTGATGTTTACCTATTCAATACATGTGCAGTTTCAGCTCAGTTAAATGGAAGCAGTGAAACAGGAGATAGGCTGCCAGCAGAATGAACAGGAATTGCCATCCAGATCTTCATGTTGTATCCCTGGTATAACATCTTCAAGGAATCCAAAGAACCTCTCTTCAGTTCAGGTTCTCAGAGGTCACCGAGCTCTATAATTATCTCCAAGCAACTTTCTCCACATCCTGTCAAGCTCTCTCTAAAGAGCTGCGTGTGCTGCCACGCAGCTTCACCATCCCCTCCACTTAGAACTGCTTCCAGCGCAACTTCTGTTGCACCAGTAAAGTCTGAATAGGAGCAAAGACTTTTACCTGTTGGAGGAAAACAGAAAGAATTCAGTAAGCCACTGCTCCAGACACCGCGTAATGCTAGAATGCATGTTACAGAGGCTCAGTTGTAATGAACATTTAATGATATCAGTTGCAATGAACATTTAATGATATCAGTTGCAACTACTCAGATTGATCTGTCACTTAGTGGCAGAAAAAAACAGCTGCAAATTTTTAGTTACTATTTGTTTAGTGCTCATGCCTAGAGGACCTAGTCGAGTTTGAAGCCACCACGCACAGAATCACCTACCCCTCCTAGTAAAGCACACAAGCATCTTGTATCCACTCTGCGCCCTTGCTAAACCTGCTGTGTTGCAGGTAGGACTGGGTACATAACCAAAACGGTTTTGTACCAGTTTTGATTAAATGCATAGTATTTTCTGGACCTTGCTAAGAAAGATAAGAGTTGGAAATGTCAAAATGTATTTGCATTTCATTTTTAGTATTTGTACCACGCTCTCTCCATAAAAACTACTTCCAGTTACATCTATGCCACATGATATAATTATTTAAATTCCACACTTACCTCCTGTCAGAGCAACTTCTGCTGTTGGAGAGTAAAGTCTCCACTTTATTTTTCCACTCTGAAATGTCTGGCTGCTTGTCCTAACTGAAATCTTATCTATTTTTAGACCGACTGATTTGCACTCAAACTTCCAACTGATGGAAGCAGAGGATGACCCTTCTTTTCGGGCTAAATAAACCTGAATGGGAAGAAGACAGAGTCAGCATGTCAAAACCTGAGATGACCAACACACACGTAATCAATAGGTGTAACAAGTACACAAGTCTCAAGTAGCACACTTCCATTCTTTATCAAGGCTTTGAACCTTCAAAACTGTATACAGTACAATTCTGTACAGAATCTCATTTCGAATCCCTAAGTACATTCCATAGTTATGTCATTGCACATATTCATAGTCCTTCACTACAGAACACTAATCTAGTTCAACATGCTTGATAGAGTTTAAGCCACAAAAATACCTAAGTTTATTACTTAAAAAAGAAAAACAGACTTCATGTTTTTATATAAGTGCACAGGCCCACACATTTTGGTTGTTCAGTACTGCTGATGAAGAAAACTGTGTAATCAGCATTTCAGTCAGATGTGGCTACTGGCTGTACCAGAAGAGAAGACAACACTTCTCCTCAGACTTGACATGTCTTGGTTAAAGCAAGTCACACATGCTAGCCATATATAAATCCTGTATTAACTTTATTTGAAGTGTTAGAGGTCTGCATAATTTAGTGTAGTCCCAACGCTGTTTTCAAATTCACCTGCCCAAACAGTTAAGCTCATATGTTAACATTCATTAAGGTTACTATGAAGCCCCAGAGGAGTTTTGCAATAAGTGTCTGATGGCCATTTCAAGGCTAGCACCTATTATAAGCCAACCAAGATAATGGACATTGCAAATTAAAGAGTCAATAATGATGTGATCCCTTCTGAATCTTTAGTTAAGAAAATTTATCAAAATTCTGTCATGTCCAGGTTTCAGATTAATGTCATACTGAATGGACTTATATAGCTCTTTAGTTTTTAATCTGGAAAGAATAACCCAGAATAAAATGATAATAAAACACCGTAGTATGTTTTACTAAAGATTCTACCCTAATATAGAAATGCCATTGACAGATTATAAAACAGAGTTAGTGTTACTATGCACCAGGCATAAAAATGTTAACTCTCATGTTGAAGAAAGCTGAAAAACCATAAAGGTGTGAAGTGTTACACTGAAGATCACCTATGAAAATGTAACGATCTAACCTGCTTTCATGTGAATATAAACTTAATGTTCATCAAAGTGATGAACTCCACACAATTTTTTTACCTACCTCAGCTAGTTCTGGTATGGTATTTCCCTTGATTGGATT